GAGAGAGAGAGAGAGAGAGAGAGAGAGAGAGAGAGAGAGAGAGAGAGAGAGAGAGAGAGAGAGAGAGAGAGAGAGAGAGAGAGAGAGTTACATGAGGGATGAACTCAGTAACATACCTGATTGGAGCTGCTAGCTATTGCCCTGTTGACCGCTATGTGACTCGAACTCTAATTTTGTATAATATGATCATTCATTGAGAATTTCCAAGCTGCGCTAATCTGGTCTCTCCATCTCTGGACTTTGGTGTGGATTCTGTGTGAACTCTCATGTTGCATATGATTGGAGTGTGAATTCAAGTGGTTCATTGCATAGATGAACGAGGTAAAATAACTCTGAATTTCCTGGGGCTGTCAGTTCGACATTGACAACGCAAGGCTGTCGCCCTTTCATGAAAAGGGGAAAAGAAAAGAAAAAACTGTCAAGAGATTGTTATGTTCCTACTACATTCATGATGCAAAACTCAAATTGCGAGAGCATGCAGGACTTGTTGACATTCAAATAGGAGAAGTGGAGAGAGATAAAGAGCGGAACAGAATCCTTCCGCCATAACGGAGGAAGCGTGGAGTGGGTCTTTTATGTAAGGAGCGTTGGACCCGGTTTCCAGCTTATATAATAAACTTGACGTCTGCAACGACCCACCAAAACACAGACTGAGAACACTGCTGATTTCTGGGATTTGCCGCTGGAATGAATGCCTTGCTGAGATTCCCGCATTCTGCTGTGGTTTCCAAGTCTGTGTGTGTGTGCGTGCCTGCTGGTTTGCGTGCCTGCCTGAGTGCTTGTCGGCTGAGTGTGTGTGTGACCCGTAAGGGTACTTGTTGGTCGAAAGGGCCCGCAGGGCCTGCACTTACCTGTGGCCGTGACTTTGAGGGTTACAGCGGGGAAAACACTCAAGTAGCGGGGGTAGGCCCGCGATACTTAGAGCAGCGGGGAAAAACACTCAAGTAGCAGGTAGGCCGGTACCACTCAAGTAGTGGTAGAAGTGTCGGGTACTGGAGGCCAAGCAGAAGAAGACAAAAGTTGGCATTTTTAGAGGCCCAGTAGCGGTAGGTTAGAGGTAGGCCGGTACCAGTCCAAGTAGCCTGAGTGTAGGGCCTGTCCGGATGATAGCAGAGCCTGCAATGATGTTTCCCTCTGAAAGGGAGGAGGTACCGGTTGCTGGGAGGCCACTCGGCCTAGGAAGTCACTGACCAAGAGGCCAGTAGGCCGCTATATCTTCGGGAGGAGCAAGCAGCTCCTCCTCATTTGCGGTATGCAAGGATTGGCGACATGCTGCTGGAGCCAAGCGCTGGACTTGGGCAGCGCTGCCTGGAGGTGACGAGGAGCTGGGCGCTCAGCCTGGCTATGACGACCAGCCCAGCCTGAGGAGGAGGAAGAAGGGGGCAAAGGAGGAGAGTGGCGAGGTACCTACCTGGCTATGGTGGACACCATCTTCATCACCTTGTTGGGCGTGCATCTGGAAGGCCCCAGTTGGGGTAGTGCCACACCAAGGAAGCTCGAGGCAGAGTCATGCATGGCAGCTTAGTCTCCTTTGGGTTGTCCTTTGGACGGGAGTGCAGCGTCATAGCTGCTTTCTGTTGTCCTTCGCACAGGAGGGCAGAGCCCTCAGTAGTCCGCCATAGCCTAGGCATGTGAGAGGAGGAAGAAGGGGGGAAGCCATAGCTATGGTGGACCTGTTGTTGAGTCAGCAGTAAGAGGGAACTTCGGATATTGATTCTGGTTCATCCAGTCATTGTTATTATTATTATTGGAAGAAGAATAAGATTGGCGAAGTGAAGGAGGAGGAGAAAGGTGGAGAGAGAAGGGGGATTTGTCATTGGTCTTGCTGGTGTACATCTTCTTCTTCTTCTTCTTCTTCTTCTTCTTCTTTCTCTCTTCTTTGGTCTCTATCTCTTTGCAAGTGCTTTCATTTCTTTTGCAATTGGGTGGCATTGTCTTTCATTGTGAATTTGCACTTTGGGAATGACCAGGATCGTAACACGTCTTGTTAATTTTTTTTTTTTTAAACAAGAGTAAAAGAGGAAAAAGAATGAAACAAATTGAACCAATGTCTTTTTCCTCACTTATTACTTTCTCATCTTCTTCTTCCCTACTCCTCTTCTCATACAGAATTAAATACAACAACAAATGAATGAATGAACAGGAGTCATGCCTTCTGAGCATTCCCCTTGTTGCCAGCACTCACCTCACTTCTTTCTCGCCGGTTGCAACCACCACTATGGCAGAACATCCATGCTCATCACGGATGGTGAAAGGACAATGCAAGTTCTACTATGCCTCTCGCACAAAGTCCAAGACCAAATTGTACCCACACAGGGGCCTTCTAGATGTAGCGCCAACAATGGAAGTGAAGATGAAGGTCAACCATAGCCGCAGGTGAGTCATGTCTCATGTCGGTTCCTCTCTCTTTCCCTTTATGTCGGTTCCTCTCTCTTTCCCTTTATGTCGGTTCCTCTCTCTTTCCCTTTCTTCATCCTCTTAAACCTTCTCTCACCCTTCTCCATAGCCTGGCATGGGGTGCTTCAGCCTCTACCTCCATAGCCAAGGCCTACTCCCTACTACTGCTACTAATCCATAGCAAGGAAGGTCTTCTTCTCCACCCTACGTTCACCCTCTGGGTGGAGCAGCAGCATTACTGCTGGGTAAGATACCGCTTCGCTCAATGTGCCCGAATGATATACTCTTGCAGCTCGGCCTCACAGCTTCACTTAGGCTGCGGTACCACTGCCTCTCCGGGGTACTAGGCCTACCAGAAGTCCCTGCCTTTTGGCAGAAACATCATTGCAGCCTGCAAGTCTACCTCAGGGCCTGAAGCTGACCTACCTGATATCTAGGTTCGGGCCCTGACTACTCGTGACCTTTTGGAAGCTCCGGGTCCGTCTAGGCCTACCGGACCTCTGTTGGGCCTACCCGAGTTGCTGGAAAATCCCTACCGGGTACTACCCAAATTCTACTTGTGTCCCTGTCTGCCCTGGCCTTTCTGGAAGTCTGTCCAGCCCCCTATTTCAGTCTTGTCCCTGTGGTTCCCTTCTTTCTAATCTACCCCTCCCGGGACACAGCAAACAAAGGGCAAGCACACAGTTAGTAATCCACATAGCACTCATCACACGGGGACTTACACACATACAAGCAAACAGCAAAGCTACACAGAACACGGAAATCTCAGCAAATCAGACCAGCAAGCAGCAATACTCAGAAACCAGCATAAATTGCAGACTGATTATGTGCAGGTCATTGCAAAACAAAAGGATTCAGAGCAGTGTATGTATGGTAGTGTACCTAAACAAAACTGTACCACAAATAGAAAAGGGGCACCACTTGACATTGGAGTTATACTTACAAGTTACAACATTTTTCAGGTAATGACATTGACGAAGCGTCAAAGCAAATTTAATAGTGATGGGTGTATGAACCTGAACCATGGGGCTATCATCCACGTATAGCCTCATTGCTGAACAGCATTTTCTTTTTCGGAAGGAAAGAAAAGGGCAGCATCTCACTAGAGAGAGGGGTTCGACCGTATGAATCCTTGCCCTCCTGCCTTGTCGGGATAATCACTGGCAATTTTATATCTTTCCTGTCTTCTGAACCGTTGTGGGTGTGTAACGATGCTATCGCGGTCCGAGACAAGCTTATGTATTTCCATCCCCCAACCCCGCATGGTTCCCCCAAGCGGCAGGTGTAGATAATGTTTCACAGAGGGGATTTGTTGTGGATTTTTTTTTTTTTTTGATGCAGCATTGCATTGTAATTCATACTGTACAGGTACATAACACCTGCTGCGGGAAAAAGAAAAAGCAAAAAAAAAGAGGAGAGGGTTTAGGCCAGAGTTAAGATGCGCATACATTGTCTCCACTGACCGCAACCTTGCTTGGCCTTGATTTTGATCTGTATCTGAGCTGAGAACCCTTCGCTGCATTGCCATCCTCTTTCATAACCTGCACTGTAGGTGGATTGCCTCCCAGCGGACCATCCTGGGAAGTATATCTCCCTGACGGACTTCTGCCCTTGATCTTAGAAAAATCTACGTCTGAAAAGCTGATATCTACATCGGAGTCCACATTGGATGGATCAGTACTGTCCACATCGTCACTGGTTCCCAGGGAGCTTCGTGAAGACATAGCTTTTATCTTCTCCCTTTTTCTTTCATGCAAATGCTCATGCCGGCTTCTTCCATCGTCATCATCATCGGCAATTGTGCCATTGTCTTCAGAAGATGTTTGCCAGTCTGGGGATAGTCTCTGACTTTCATGTTCACTCACAGCATCTGTAAATGTCACTTTGAAAGCTTCCTTGCTCCTTGTAATTTTGGAAAGATCACTGCTTCCCATCAGTCCTGAAACAGCTTTCACGCCACTCATTTCACTAGTGTCCTTGCCAAAGATGCCCTTATCATGACTGCTATGGGCAGTGTCCCCTGTGTCACCAGTTTCAGGTCTGCTTTCGGTTTCCGGTACAATTGCATTTGTGCCATTGTCCAAAGCAGGGCTTGACATAGTATCGGCTTGAGGCTCGTCCAGGATTTCACCTGTCTCTCTCACTGGTGAAGACGAAGTGCCTTGCTCACCCGCATGGGGTTTGTTTTTCAGTCTCAGAAGTTGTGATTGGGCATTCGTTAAGTGCCGGGACGGGGCGATGTCCTGCACTTGCCGCTCCTGCTGATGGTCAAAAAAACTTTGACAGGGAGAAATATGAGTTGTCAGTTTCAGTCCTTTCAGAAAAGAGAAAATGAGCGTAACTGCTCAGATTTCATACAATCTCTTCTTTTTTTTCCCTTCCTGTCTGATGGGAAGACTAAATCAACAATCAAAGACAATCTTCTCCATCACAACTCATTCACAGCTTTCACTTTTCGACTTTTTGTCCAAAAGTTGTTCATCGAAGAGCTGCAGCTTCTGGTTCTTTTTCTTTTTTTCCCTGTTTTAGTTACCTTCTGGTTCTGTCCGTTGTGGTCAGAATGATGTGTCTCAAAGTCCTGGGGCACTGGATATCTTGGCAGGGCTTTGCAATCTCTGATTGAATATGTTATGCGGTAAGCATTACCCCCCTTTGCTGCCTTGTTTCCTTGTGCTGACAGGGCAAGGGTTCAAGGGATGAGTAGCATTGCAAAGACCGAAAGGTATAAGCATAAACTCGTACAGACCGTACCTGGTCTGAAAAGCAGTTTTGTGTCGATCATCAGGCCTTATGGCAATCTGATGGTATCTGAACTTTAGATCTATCTTACTGAAGTACTGACATCCCTGCAACCTATCTAAGAGGTCGTCGAATGCGGGGTAGGGGCTCGACGTTCTTAACTGTGATGGCATTGAGGCCCCTATAATCAATGCACATTCTCAAGGTCCCCCTTTTCTTGGGAACAAACTGTACTGGCGCACCGTAGGGGGACGTACTAGGCAGGATCCAACCTTTCTTTGTGAGCTCCTTGAGTTGTCGGTGAGGCTCATCTAACTCCATAGGAGACATCCTATATATCCGCCCTCTATAGGTACCTTGCTACATGGAATGACTTCAAATGCATTAACTACTTCTCTCTCGACACAGCCCCGAGGCTTCTCAAAAAATTATGGATATTGTGCGACGACTGCTTCTATCTCTGGGGCTGTTTTACGACGTCCCCTTTCTCAGAGACAAAGACTAGATACACGCCTTCCTCGTGATTCTGCTTGTAATAATTATAGAAAGTTAGTGCACAGGTAAACATAAGACTGGACTAGCCTGCTTGCTTTGTACTTATGTAGTGTGACAGTCCTCCCATTTGGCAACTTGTACATCATCAACTTCCTATCCCAATCAAACTGAGGCTTTGCAACCTCGACGTAGTACATACCTAGCAGCATATCGAAGGGAAGCTCATCGCTAACCAGTAACAAAATTTTATGTCTCAGTTCCCCTTCCCCATAGGAGAAGGTATAAATTACATCCTTGACATAGTCTCTCACTACCATGGAGTGCTTGTTGGCCAAGGTAGATGCTACAGATCTGCTAAGTCGCTGCACTTGGTCCCCTAAGTGCAGCCTTTCCACACGAGCACAATTGATGAAATTCAGTGTAGAGCCTATGTCGGTGAAGACACCCTCTTTTCGACCACTTACATCGCCTTCTACCACAAAATATTCACCTCTACAACCTTTGGTCAACATCGTCCAGGAGTCTCTGGGGTCCTTACATAACTATTCTTACTCCTGTAAGAACTAAGAAACATTCATTGAATAGAGCATCGACTGGTCCGTATCTGTTTGTGGGACGAAATGGGGGTCAATGGCTTCGACCAACATCTGAAGTGAAGAGGGAGAGACCACCACTTCAGCATGGGTAGGAGCAGCTATAACTCCTACTGGCCCTATGTGTTTCCTTGGGAAGTGCTCGCAGAGGCACCACCCGAGGTAGAAGGTCCCACAACCACGATTAAGGATGCTACCTTCGTTGTAACTCGCTTACTTCTGCAACGGCTCACTGTCTGCCTGTACTGGCCACAGTTCAGACAAGTGCCTCAAGCAACGAGGTCACACCGCACATCATACTCTAATCCTACTTTCACCCATATGGGCAGACCTTGTTCCACTTGACCCTTGGGCCGACTGCCCTTCTGTTTCCCGACCCCCTTAGCCTTTCCTTTATGGGGGCTACTACTCCACCCTCTGAAGTCTCTGATTCCTCGTCTACCTCTGTATATTCCCCGAGATTAGAGAAGTCTTCACTCTCAATGATGCTGCCATCATGGCCAACAAACATGAGACTGCCCGTCTTCTTCCAATCCCGTGGGATCTTCTTTTCCCCCCTAGACGTCAATGACTGTTGCGCACTCCCCGAGTCGGGCCTCCATGCTTCTTACTGAACGAAGAAAAGTCATGTACATCTATGGAGGCCTCATCGGCCAACTTATTCTTGGCGTCTATAGGAAGACATCGCAGATAAGTTGTCATGAGAACCTACGGATCATACTGCACGCTTGGGACAACAATCAAGAGTTCTATCATGTCCGTTACCTCGCGGACAGACCGATATTTCCTAGATGCCAGGCCTGCCAGCGAGTCGGTAGCCTTTTGTGCCCCCCGAGGGTCATGCCAGATGTTGTAAACGAACCGTACGAACTCCTCCAAAGTCTGCGCCTGCGCCCAGGCATTCAAAGTCCTGACCGAAATCGTGTTGTTGTACTAACCCGTCTGACCATCTTGTCGTTGATCCTTCTAGAAAGGATGCAACGGCACTGACCTCCTCCTCGGGCCCTGTGAGCTTGTGTGTGCCTCACGTAAGTGGGCAATTTTCTAACCAAAGTATTAACATCCTCCTCCTTTTTCTTGTCCCCTGAAAAAGGTTCAAGAGTTAACAGTGGTATCTTGGGCACCCATTGCACTCATCATCCCGGACCCTGTGCCTGCTGCACCAATTGGGACACCGCTGGGATAGGTTGTTGCGGCGGCGACTGTACTTGCTGCTGCTGCAAAACCTATTGCAAGGGCTGTTGGACGTACGACTGCCCTGTAGCTGCAGCCACGGGGGACTGAAGAAGATTGTCGTGGAGCCTGCCCCCTAACACCTGCTAATATACAGCCTAGTGGACTGATGTCGAACCAAGGGACAAAGGGGCTTCTCATCGACGGCAGTGTCAGATGAACCTCCAACCGTAGGGAGATCTACAATAGGTTCTGGTGGCCTCGCCATAGGTCTAGCCGCACATACCGCAGCCAGAATCTGGTTCTGGCCAGCTATCAGAGCAGCCGACCATTCCTGTTGCACAGCCTGTACTTCGGCCACACTTAAAAGGCTGGAACGAGAAGACCTAATAGTTGGATCAAGTGTTGACTCATCCCTAGCTTTTAATCTGTCTACCTGTTGACCCTAACCTTAGCCTAGCTTTTCTAATTCTAGCTCTCTCTCACCTGTCCTCTACCCCCTGTAAATGGTGTTGTAGCTCAGCGTGAAGCGCATTCGTTTACTGCATCTCATAATCCTCATCTGACATGGGTTGCTTCTGGATGACCTGCGAGCCAGAAAACTGATTGACGAAAGGCTGCGACATAACCCGACTTACACCTGACGAAGAGTACTGCAAAGAGGCTTGGGACATTGCAGAGGAGGTAGCCATTGCCGCCTCTAGTTCAACTCTAGTGTGTGCTGCAACCGCAGCTGCTAATGCTCTTGCTGTGTTGGCCGCTGCTGCATGTGCTCTTTGCAAATCTCTCCTCCTCTCAGCTTTTCTACGTAGTCTCCTTTCCTCTCCTGGTTCTAACACCAAGAAAGTAGTCGGCCTACTAAGTGTCTGTCTCCTCTCAGCTACTGCCGCATGTGCTCTCTAGAAACATCTCCTCTAAACTTCTTTACGCAGTCTCCTTTCCTCTCCGGGTTCTAGCATCAAGAAAGTGGTCAGCTGACTAAGTGTTTGTCTACGGGTAAGCCTCCTATCGTCCTAGTCTAGTCTCTCAACCTCAACTGTCATCTTCACTCATGAGCTCTGCATAGCATGCGATCTGCATTATTGTCCTCTCCGGGACCTACTGCCGCGTGACATCCAACCAGTTCTCAAAATAAAATAAAATAAAATAATTATCCAGATATGTCAGGAAGTAGTCAAGCCGTAACAATAGAGAAGCTCAAACCCCTACAAACAATGGTACTCCTATTTTGACTAGTCTAAAACAGATTGCAATGCAGCAAAGAATAATTACTATACCTGCAACAGTTTGTCAATCGTCAGCCATCTCCGTAACAACTAACTAATCAGAAATAAAAACAAAATCATTTGCTGGAATGCAAGCTAAACCGAAATGAAACAATAATTGACAATCGAGCAGTTAACTGGAATCCACCCTCCCCCTCAATCTTTCTTGAGTTGTCACTTAATGTCGACATCCCGAAAGCTCCGGTTGAGCAGCGTGTCTAAAGGTGTGCAATCGGCCCACCCTTGTGCCCCAAGTCAATGCAAGACCGTCCAGCCCCGTCTGTACTATTTTTATACTCGCATACAGTGGGAGTTGTGTATCCCCGCCGGAGTCTCTTTATAGATGGCCCGGTACTCGTCTCTCCCCCATAGGGCTGGTCTTCCCGACACAACTTCTACAGCGCATCAAAGCAGACGAAAGGACTTAGCAGCAAAGCATGCGTGCTTTACTCCCAGTGGACTGGCATGGTGAACGTTGTCGGGACCGGTGGGTCCCGAAACAAGTCCTGACTACTTGAGAGATGGTATACGACAAAATTGTGCACAACAGAGAAAACCGGAGGCAAGAGAGATAGGAAGGATGGAAGGCTAAGGCATAAGTATCGACGCCTAGGGGCCTAGAGAATGCCATGGGCCCCCAGAACCACGGGACCAAGAAGAGACTAGTAGGATAGCAAGCGGTGAAGGGCCAAAAGAGAATAGTAAGGCGGCTCTTCTTCCGAAAGAAGAAGGACCGCTGGGAAAAATAATGACCTGGGTTGCGCGCCGCAGGAAGAAAGGAGTCAAGGAAGTCGAGAAAATAGTTTTGGGGCACCGACACCTAAGAACGCAGCATGGGGCCAAGAGGGCCACCGGAGTGCGGCATACGAAGAGCCAAAGGGCCATGAGCCAAGTGAAAGGTCGCGGCCGGAAAGACCGGCGCGCGTGAGACATGGAAAGAAAACTA